TTACACGTTACTTTACGATCGACCTGAGGCTAGTTTTAGCCTGTCTCGTGTCCAAAAGTTTTCTGGCGATGAGGTGGCTGCCACTCCTTTCAAACCCCCGAAACAGAAGGGGCACATTCCCCGTATGGCAACCTTTTGGATATGGGGCGGCGCCCAAAAAGTGATCCCTTTTTTATCAACATTTCTCAAACGATTAACAGTGTTTGGGGCCTAAATAGGGCATTTTTCAGTTTGAGGCCTCAAAAAGGGGGTGGGGGCAAAAGCCGCCAAAACACGTATTTATGAGATAAAGGGTTAATGTAATAATTACAGTTTTAACAATTATCTCCTGGGCTGTATCAATATTACTGATCGATTTGTCTGATTAGCGAACATTATATCAACAGTTGATAGACAGTGGCGATCGAATCTTTCCCAGAACCTACTTTATTTTTAGATTTATTGGTCCAGCATACAGTAATATTCATATGCTTGTGTATTTTTGACGGTGTGGGTGATCATACGAAAAGCAGAAATTATGAAATTTTACAAGCCTTTCTTTTAACACTGTAGAGTTTCAATTATCACGTTTGATAATAGTTTTTCTTACCTTCTATATTTTGTCACACGAAGCTTATGTTTAATTATGTTTTCGTGTGTCAATCGAACCAATATATAGTGTTCAGCTTTTTTCTAATGTATTTTATTCTATGGCATTTCTCCTTTTACACAGATATCTATTTTATCGTTTAATGTGGGGGCAATGTTGGTAAAGAAGTATACTTACACCTTAGATGAAATGCTGCTTGATTTCTTCACAGAAAATTGAGATTATGATTTGGAAAATACCAGGGTACAAAGAACAGCCGGCGAACATGACACATCCGATACGTCACATTTCATATTAACAATTAAACGCATGCCCGAGTTCCAAATTTTTTATGTTGTTCTTCCAACAGTCTTTATGTCTACAATAAATATTCTAGTGTTCATACCACCAGCTGAATCAGGTGTGAGAGTTGGGTATTACGTTACAGTTTTGCTAGCTCTAGCTGTCTTCTTGACCCTTGTTGGAGATAACCTTTCCAAGACGTCAGAACCGGTGCCGATTCTAAGCTACTATTTGATGATTTGATGATTCTTTTGACCATGAGCACGCTCATGACCGTGACAACATTAATAAATTTGAATATTTATTTTAAGACAAGCCAAGTACCAGCTTGTCTTCGAAGTACATTCAGGATATAATTATGTTTCCCCTGTAAGTTTCGGGAGAAGATAAATGTATGTACCATGTATGCATTTTAGCGAGCTTTGATTTTATTTTATTAATATCTTATCATGATGTAATTATTTTACTCAACGATACTGCATTGTTAATTTTTGTAATCTTTATTTTGATTTTAATAAGCATGACAAAAGCTTTCTGAAGATATTCTTATTAATTGTTAGATTTATATGGATTATGACAAGGATGAAGGAAATGTTAATAATTGCTGATCACATTTCTACTGTACAGTATTTGATACATTAACAAGTGTAGAAAAATGTTGCTTATAATACAACAAAATAATGAATATGTGTATGAAAGTACAAAATGGTAGATTGACATCACGGATTTAAAATCTTTATTTTATTGGAAAATTCTTCGTTAAAAAATGGTGTAAATTACGAATACTTAAAATGAAAAATGTATGCTAAATCACTTGACAAAAATATTACTAGTCTTAGCACTTACACAAAATGAGCTATGATTTTTATGCGGCTATAACAAACGAAATAAAAACTTATGTTCATTCCGAATTGCACGAAGAATGTTTATTGTACTTGAAAATTCAAATTACAATGGATGACTGTTGTAATGCAGATTTTATGTCATAATTGAATATTTTTATCTTCGGATTCGGATAAAGGGTGACTGTTATAATCCAATATTCGGCCTTGGAATTCGAATAGCATGAGAAAGAAATTTATAATCCAATCATCTTTGAAAGTGGTTACCACAAACGTTGAGCTTTGACATCAAAATGAGCTCAGTACATTTCAAATAGTCGACATATATCGAATGAATATTTATGAGTTTACTGTACTGAGATCACGCACGTGGGTTTTTTTCCGGGGGGGGGTATGTTTCCATTTAAAATGTTTCAACCTATACATTTGATATAAAATTGTTGTTGGGTTTAAAAAAAAATTTAAATAGCTGTATGTAAGAAAGAAACATATTTCTATATTTATTTATATATTAATCACCACGAAGTGACCTGCATCAGTAATATAAACATATTTAATTGGATAAAACAGTTAAAACCCTTATTTTAAACAAATCTGACATTTTGTTCTTTGGAACATTTCATTCTGTTTATGTATAAATGTCATGCATGTTAAATAACAGAGACATTTGTTATAAAACTCTTTTGGAGTAGGCCATAAATTATGGAACACCTATCCCCAGGATTTATTCTTACGTTAGCAATTAAGTATTGCTTAGGGGACTTCTATACAATTCATGTGACCTCATGGACGAGCCACGTGGTCTAATTTTTACATGACTTATACAGGATGCCAACATGAAGAATCGCTTCCTCAAAAACTGAATCTGCACTGCCCTAAAATACGAATATTAGACTTCAAATAGTACATCAGGTACACAAGCATAACTTTTATTTCACAATAATAAGTTAGGCCGCATCTACACTTATTCAAGTTTCTTTCATGTCACATTTAGATAAGCTAAATAAATTGCCCTTACAACATATAATCAGGCACAATTTTTACTGAAATGCCTTCTTAAGATTGCCCAGGATTTATATCATCCTATCATGTTTCTGTTAAATGTGTGGATAAAAAGACGGGAAAATGATGCAATTAGCTAAAACAATGAGTTAAATGAAATGCGTACATTCTTTTAAAAAATGGAAAATGTGAGAAAAATACAATTTGATTCAAATTCTTTATTTGATGAAAATTATTCACTTAATGAAAAAGATCATTTAAAATCCATTTTGACTCTCTTTGAAAAACAGATTATTTCCAAACTTTTTTTAAGTAATATATTATTTAATTTATTTTTGCTCTTCTGTATATCAGCATATTGATTTGGTCCTTTGACCAACCCATTGTAAACATTTACTGAAATTCGCAGGTCATGTACACTTTAATCGACAACATAAAGTCAGAAAATAATAAGATAAACAGCACTATCACACCTTCGGGCACATGTTTTCTTGCAAGAAATTATCTTCATGGATGTCACATAATTCCTCTTTAAAAACCATTCAAGTAGGGTGTCTACATTATCCAATAAAAGAGCATATGATACTTGCATAGGTGTAGACGCGGCCTTAGGTTTAGTCTTAAACACATATTCTGAAGTTTTAAAATTTTATTTTGTGTATAAAAATGTGCCTTGTACATAAACCAATGTATTTATAACTTCGCAGAGTCTAGGTAGATTCGAAATTACAGTAAAGTTCAATTTAGTGTTTTTATAGTAGTTAAAATGCCTAAAATAAAAGTAAAATATAAGTAGAAGTCGACAAAGACAGAGTCAATCCGATAATGTCTTAAATCTGATAAAATGTTTGTTGATCACTATGCTTGTGATAATGATAATACCTTATGTCGCATTTTTTGTCTTTATCTATGCTTGTGATTATGATAATATCATATGTCGCAATTTTGTCTTTACCATCATGTTACGATTAATGTTCATGTTAATCAAGTTTGTCAAATATATCTGAGGATTCTGCTCGCATTGATAATAAAGAAATATCTGTTTTTCATTACATTCTTTACAGGTTATACATAACAACGTGATTTTAAATGCCGGGTGTGGGTTAAAAACCACATTTTGACCTAATACAATTATATATATTTTAACCAAACAACATTATACTCAAGATGATGGTAATTGAGCTGCATGGTCTCAGTGGTCTTCTTGTGACGTCACACGCAGGCACGGTTCACAGTAACGGTCTCGGACATGTACAAACCCTACACCAACAGCAAACCGCAATTCTGTGCCGGAAGAGAATTTTACTGATAATTCAGACTGCCAGTTGCCTAAATGCTAAGTTGACAGAAGCGAGACAGACTCCGGTGCGTCAACCAAAAGTTTAAAACCACATAAATGAGAACATACATTTGTTAGTGACTTGAAATGGAATAAAGAGCTATTTAATTGACAAATCATCTAATATCGGCGATGCGTTTTAACAATGATGCTATTGTTCATTTACGACATAGATGTCTAATGCCATATTTATAGATGTGCGTTTCGAGTTTTTTCTAATGTATCTTAAAATGTTTTGCCTACAGTACTTTTGTTAATATCTCATTTTTATCAAAATGAAATTGCGTTATAGAATCCATCTAGTATCACTACAATGTGTCTGTATATTCATTGTTCTCACTTATATAGAAATTGGGAAATAAGTATGCCGGCAAACCTGCTAAACATTATGCGATATCGACCAGGTCGAAAACGAGACTCATTTCCTTAATGAATCTTCATTGTATATTAATGTCACGTCTGTTGTTAACACACCCATGTAGAGGGGTAAATAATATCTTTAGAAAGCTGAAAAATATATAAATATTCTTATATAGTTTGAGGAGTTCTTTGAATATTTTTACTCCCTTTTCAAGTAAATCTTTAATTCCAGATGGATATAGGTGCATAGTTTTCTTTGACTGTATTAACTGTTCATTGTTAGCATCTGTTTTGCTATTACAATATTCTTCTGTCTGTCCTCAGGTTTTTAACGTACTAAGTGAGAAGAGATAAAAAGCTAGATTCGATGTTTGCATGGTTTCATTTTTTCAGAACATAACATATCATTACAAAAGTGAAGAACATAAAAACACTTGGAGATCAGATTTCTAATGTGAGGCTATACACCTGTTGTACAAATAAGAAACCTCTTATTATGTTTTTAATATAATCTATCTATTGATTATTCATCATAGTATTAGATACATGTTTAAAGTTTGAAAATAATGGCAATGAGAAAAGGACATCAATTCCAATATCTTTATTTTCGTTTTTCATTATTACTACAACAACAATAATAACAGCACAGCAAAACCAACAACAAGAAGAAATTGGACAACAATGTCATCAACACAAAATATAATAATAATACCACGAAGAACATTATCTTTTTTCAGAATTTCAAATGAATGAATTTGAAACAAAATGAACAAGTTGTTTCAAAGTAACAAAGTAACGGTATATTGTTTAACTCACAAATGTTATGTTTAGTAGTTATTTACAATAAAACCTAGAGTTGCAACTAACAGGTGACCATTTCCACTTTATTTTGTATATAGAAATTCGTCGCAGTCTTATTGATATTTTGTCATAAGGTAGCACAAGTTATGAGTTTATCAATATTTCTTCTGTTATCTGAAGTAAGTCACGTATACCAGGTTTGCGTTTTGCGTCGAACAGAAACTGACGGCTGGTCAATGTCGTTCCATCTTTCAGATACCAGTAAGACAATTAGCTGAATCTGCATAATGAAAAGGAAACAATGATTATTAAATTTCGTGTTTTTTATATTAAAAACTAGAAATGTGTCCATAGAACACGGGTGCGCCCACACTCCACTGTTTTGTCAATCCTATGACTCTAGGTCAAATATGTATTTAGTTATACGTAACACCAGTTGAAAATAAATTTTTTTACTAAGTCAAGGGCAAGAACTTTACAAAATTAATACTGAATAAAACCACAAGCGAATCCCAATGTACATAAGTACACATGCTGGCCAAGATTCTTGTAAACTTTCAGGCCTACAGGTCAAATAGTTTTTGAGCTATGCTGTCATGTTGAATGTTGCCAATTTATAGTAAGTCAAGGGCAATAACTCTAACAAAACTGAAAAAGTCATGCAAAACCCCAGGTTGATAGAATCACAGTGATGTTGATCATTATTCCTGTAAAGTTGGTTGATTTCAAGCACTCAAGGAACACATTACACAACATAATGGAACGGTTTTTACTAAGGCAAGAGCAATTACTCGTCAAATACTGAATGAATTAACAATCAAACCCAAATGTGCACAACGTCAAATTCCAACAAACAGTTTGGTAAAGTTTCATGACTTTAGTTCAAATACTTTTTGAGCTTCACAACCCAATTTGAAAATTGCTTTTTTTACTAATTCAAGGGCAATAAGATTAGAAATACTGGATACATCCACAAGTGAAACAGCGCTTGCACAACTACCTATACTCACCAACATATGTATAGGTTAAATATTTTTTGAGCTACGCACGAAACAATTTGAAAATTGCAAATTTTTACTACGTCAAGGGCAATAACTCTGACAAAACAAAATCAATCTACAAGCAAAACCCCAGGTGCATTACTTCACATGCTCAGCAACATACCTGTAAAATCTTATGATTTTAGGTCAAATACTTGTTGAGCTATGTGCGACAGAATTTGAAATTTGCAAATTTTTACTTAGTCAATGGGAATAACTTTGATAAAACAGAATAATGTCACACGCAAAACCCCAGTAGAAGCTTTACACTTATTGCTCAGTACTGGTTGGTTCCAGAAACGGATTCGAAAGTATGTCCATAAGCTAATTGCTACCTACAGAATGGAATTGAAATAAATTCTGTATAAAACAAATACTTTTTGAGCTATGTGCGACACAAGTTGAAAATTGCAATTTCTTTCTAAGTCAAGGGCAATAACTTTGACAAAACAGAAAATGTACACAACCGAAAATCCGTGGCACAACTGCACATGTTGAGCAACATTCCTGTAAAGTTTCATGACTCTATGTCAAATATTTTTTGAGCTACGCGCGACACCAGTTGGAAATTGCAAATTTTTACTTAGTCAAGGGCAATGACTATTCAAACACTGAGAAATATATCATATCCAAATTATGGAGCTTCTTTAATCATATCAGCATTTCGTTATATATATTGATATTTAAAATCAATATTTACTTAGTAAAATATTTACATATTTACAAAAATAGACGATTGTTTTCATATTATATAATTATTATATAATAGAATGTCGGTCAAAACAAGATCACTTACTTTTGCTTTAATTCCTCACAGAAATCACCTGATAGTTCCCGTCCTGGTCGTATCGTTCATTTACCAAACATTAATCGAATATGCTTCAACGTAATATTAAATCGGTGAGGTGGTGTAACAATTTCATGTCATGGGATAAAGTACGACGATAAAATGAAATTGCACGATTTAAAGTTCGAGGGTTACAGTTTATCTCCAGTGTGTAACTGTGTAACGTATAATCAAGTTGTACTGTAAATGTTATCTTTCAATGAACTGTTATTTTTAAATATGTGGATGCACAAGTCTATACATGTACATGTCAAATCGTTATTCCAGATTACAATGAAAAAATTAAATCAGTTTAAGGGTAGGCACTCTCGTAATTTTTAAAATAAGACAACAGTCTGTGAAAAAGTTTATTACCGGTGCCCAGTGGATGATTATGTATAACAGTTTGTATTTAATAGTTCAATAAAAGGAAACGTTTATAACCGGTGCCCGACAGGTGAATTATTGTATTAATATTTGGTTTAACAATCGCCGGTGCTACAGGTACACCAGTCTGTTGTGTTGAACAGAATTCTAATAATAGTTGATTTTTAAAAAAGTAATCAATTATTTAGCAATTATGTACTGTGAGAAATGGGTGTCATTAGGAGAGACATGTCGGTTGAAGGACGTAAACTTATTGTCGAAATAGGAATCTGCGTATATTGAGAGAGAAGAAAGAAATAGGAGGCGTGAAGAAGATCGCTGGCAAATTGAGGCAGATGAAAATAAAACAGTAAGAAATAGTGTTGTTGAAGTTGAAAATTGAGACTGGTGATCGCCTTGAAACTCAAGTTAGATCCGGAATGAGGTCAAAATTGTAACAATTTGAAGAGTCAATGTATGACATAGATGATTATATAGAGAGTTTCAGAATCATGTTTAGAGATAATAAGATGGAACAAGGGGTGACAGTATACCAGTTTGTGGCTCGCTTAGATAGTACTTTAGATATGAACAGAAACGGCCGACACTGTTGCAACAATAGATTAGTTGAAAGAGCGAATTATTAGTGAACAATTTATCAGAGTTTGTTCAACAAAGCTAGCTGATTTCTTAAACTTTAAGCACGAAAGTCGAAGACTTGTAGAGATGTTGTCTTTTTGTCTGAAGAAACCTTAGAAGCACATAGCGGTACAATCAGAAAAAAGTACAACTAAAAGGTTGCAAATATTTTAAATAAATCACCAATACGCCTTAATTAAAAATATCATTGAAATCAGTACAACACAATCATACAAAAATCAAAAGATCATTATGCTTTATATGTTATAGAGAATGTCATGTAGCAAGAGATTGTCAAGATCACACTTATTTAGGGCTGCTGCAATTGCATATACCGAGCCAAATAGAATTACTATAAAACAAATCTGGATCCTTCACCACGAATAAGGCATAGTAGACCTGGCGAAAATAGACAATAAGAAGGTATCGGTCAATATGTCAATTTCTCAAACAAGTTCGAATGATGTTTGCAACAAAGAGGATACACTCTAATAGTAATTTTGTGCCTGTTATTATTATAAGCAGTACAAATGAATCGTTGGAAGGTCAATTATATCTAAAACCAGAACATGATAGAAATCAAATGGTGAAAGTTCTAAGAGACTTGTTGCGTGTAAGCGGTAGTTAGAAAGAAATCGGTCAAAGAAGATCAAATGCCATAGAAAAATTGTGGCATAAATCCAAAATTAAGATGGTCGGTTACGGTTGGTACACATGGCAGAAATAGACATTGATAATCTTATTATAAGGATGAAATTGAAGCTATGGTTTTAAGGTCAGCTATTTTTGACTTAAATATGGGCAATATTCAGGGTTTACTTGATAATCCAAATGAGAAATGCGTTAGACGAGAAGACAGAAACATAGCTACTGCTGTAGAGCACAGGCGGAAAATCGAAGGAAACAACGGAAACTTAAAAAGTTCTAAAGGATTGAAATAACGAAATTAGGTAGATCTTCGTAAGAAAATGATCAATTGCACGACAATCATGTACAGTGTTTTTCGTAGTGTGCCAGAGAGAATAAGATCATGTAAGATCATGAAAACAAAAAGTGGGGAAAAAATAGAAACCAAGTAGAAAAAGTTGTATAGAATATTTGAAACGGTGCAAGGTGATTAAAAGTCTTAAATAAGCCCAATAGTGGTTCCAGTAAATTTCATGAAAGAATATTGCCATTACTCTATAAGTCTACAGTGGGTGAGCATTTGTCTGTACGTAAGACATAAGACAGTATACAGTGTAGCTTTTACAAGCCAGATATTTCCAGTGAGTAACTAGATTTGTCGTTCCTGTGATAATTGTCAGAAGACGATGCCCAGGGATGAAATTCAGAATACTCCTTTAAGAGTAATGCCTATTATGAACACTCTTTTCCAGAGAATTGCAGTTGATTAAATTTGGCCATTATCACATGTGTCAGAAAAGGGAAATAGATACCGATTAACTGTAGTTAATCAGGTTACTAGTTACCCACAAGTTGTAGCTTTACAAAGATAAGAGACTAAGCAAATATAGCCGAAGTATTGCTAGATATTTTTTTGCAAGAGTAGGGTTCAAATCGAAAATACTTAAAGACAATCAATTCAACTCGTAAGGAAGTTTGTACATTTGTTTCCCTTAAACAGCTATTAACTACCCCTTACAATCCAAAATTCCTATTGAAGAAATCTGACAGCATTTTATACAACTGTTTGAAAAGCAACTTTTAATAGAATGAATGCTTTCAGGGATAAGTTATACTGATAATAACGTTGATGGTGTTCTTGGACATACTGTTACATTTGAGAAACATTTTAAGATGTTGAGACGGATGTTTGAAAGAATACGAGAAGTATATTATCTACCGGTCATATTGTTGGCAACGTTCAAGTGCAAATGGAAAATAACAAATTGAGTAAAATTAGAAACAAAACATTTCATCAAATATCCATCTTTAATTTCATAATTTAAGTTTTGTCTGCATAAATGTCTAAAATTTGTCCATTGATTTTCAGTAGCTTTTTCAGTTAACAATCTTTCTAATAATTTTATATTGTCTTTACTAATTTCAATTTTTTATTGGTGAAAGCATTTTTTTTATATTATCTGCCCCCTCTCTCATGGACAGTGCATACGATAAATATAATTATGCAAAGTGAAATCATTTAAATCCGGAATAAAGTACAATAGTAATATTAATAAAAAATGACCTGTGTATAGGACTGATATGGCAAGGTATTTGTAATGAGCGTTTTTTCCCCCGCGGAACTTCTCAATTGCTGCATTGCAGCAATATTTGTACTTGTTTATATATGGATTTGAGAAAAAAAAAAGAGAAAAATACTTAAGATAGAGATATATTGTTGTTCAAGTAATTACTTGCTAGTTATCCAGATAAGATATTTCAATTATAAAAGTCAGGCGGTGCTACTTTGCCTCCTTATCTTGGGTATTGGGTATAGTCCTGTTACTACAACCTTCCTCAGATCAAAAGTAACCATTCTCTTGACACAAGTGACTCTTTTGGTGGCTTTATTATTTCATTTCACCAAGAAGCCAAATTGATTGTTGACTTTGACCGTGAAAATCATATCTAATAAAAAGATATTTTTTTAAGTATTACTAAATGATATAGATGTTTCTTATATGTGCCTATACTATGTGACTTGTGATTATGATAAATGTGGGATTGAAAAACGGGTAAAAAATGACAAGGTAGTACTTTTTCATATTTTCTAATATTTATTTTTTATGGGATAAATTGTAGAGCCCGCTCATTCAAGTGAGTAGCTCATAAATAGAATGTTTTCTTTTGACAATATTCAGTATTTTCTCGTCAAGTGAAATCCCCAATTTGAGCAATCAGAAATACACACAGTTTCACTTTACGAAAGAAATACTGGTTTCTTGTTTTCCCAAATGTATTACATATAGAAAAAAATACTTGAATGAGCGGGCTTTATACTTTACCGATAAAAAACGAACTAGTAAAAAAAGTTATGGTAGGAAAAATTTTCAGGGCCTTCTTCTTTATTTGTTTTTCTGTCCCATGTAGACCTCTTCTAAGTTGACTTTGTTCGAAGAAATTAGTCGTCGAGTGCTTTCTCAAACTAAAGCCTCTGTTAAATGAAACGGAAAAATTCTTACGACAGAATGTAATATATAATTTCACACAAATTAATTAAAAATAATTGCCGGACATCTTTACTTTCTTTAAGCATCTATTGCATGGAACGGACAACGTCTTTTAACAGAATATTAATCCAGATAGAGAAATTAAGAAATAATTGCAGGACATCTTTGTTTTCTTTAAATTTCTTTCATAAATTACACATATTTTAACCGAAAGATATAAGTATAAAAATAAAAACATCTTTAGAATGATCATTAATAACAAGCTAGGTGATAATACGTGTTATAAAAACATTTCATTTTTTCCAATGATACTGCTGCAGCTTAGTTTAAACATACAATGTTTCTGTTATGATAAAAGGTTTGGTGCTTATCTGAACAACCCACTAGTGCTTTTTTTCTTTGAAAGAGGCGGTATTGGAATCATACAAAATATTTGGCGTAGCCCAAATCGTGGTTGAATCAATGATTTCTGATGAATGTCTAGCTATATAAATATAAATATTATACATAATTATATATAATATATATACATATAAATCCTGAACGATACTTGTCTATATCGCCATATTATAAACAAAAACATACGTTAACAAAATTTCGCCGTTCGCTGTTCTAGCCTCTTTCTTATACTCGGAATGAATTTTCTCCAAATTTAGGTTCAGCCAGATTGCCTTAAACTCATGTATATGAGAATATTTCTAGTCCCGTTATGTCAAAAACATCAGTGGGGCCCTTATTGTTGTTATCTTTAATTTGATTTATCAAAAAGATATCATCATAAGATATTTTTTTTATCATTTTCTAATGCCTTTTATAACCATTAGAATACAGTGTAACTATTCCATATGTTACCTAGTCATTACCAAGAAAAAGCATGCAAAACTGTATTCCATTGAATGTATGTTATTACGACGGAGTGGAATATTATAGTATATAAATGCAAAAGTATGTATAAGCTATACCAAGAAAGATTCCACGAATCGGATAATATGAAAACGTAAATTCATATGTAATAAATATAAGCATATTTCACATTTACAGAACATTACAAATTAAACATGACTTTATTTTTGTACTTGAGAGCATTGCAGCTCATCCATAGCAATGATTATGCATAATTATGTCAAAGTCAAACAATAAATATAATATATTTACTATTGACAGCAACTACAGCTGTACATATGACAAAAGAAGGTAAAGAAAATACATAAGTATCATTTATATATAACGCAAGTTTGATTACTAAGTCAAATGTTGTTTATCTTTTGAAAAAAATAGCGGTGTTTTATAATGGCGCAGTTTTTAAATAAACAGTGTCTTGAATTAGCGCAATCGGCCCTTATCGCCAATATAGCCACACTTAAACCCCCTGTCCCCCCCCCCCCAAATCCCTACTTGCACAGAAAGTATTATGTCATTGTTTCATTGAAATATCACTCTTTAAATAGATATACTGATATTATTTCCCTACATAAAACTTATCAATCCTATATCTAAATAAGATATGCAAATAACAGGCTACTTTTAATCTTAACAAAAGTTGTTTTTTTTATCACTCGAATTAAACTAATACTCTATCTACATCAAATTCACATTCACATTACAGCCATTCTCCTATAATTGAAGCACTTTTAATAATTCCTGTCTCCGCTTTTAAAATCGTTGTAAAATGTACAGACGAACTTAATCCTTTGTGACAAACATTTAAATAAGTACACTGGGATGTTCTCAGCAGCTTGACTTAAATTTTGTAGCGTGGATGCTCCTCGTTTTTCATTTGTGTTAAACTGAAAAGCTATAGTAACTGCAAAAAAGCGCTGTCGCTTGACCAATTAAAGTTTAAGATTGGTGAAAAAAACAATCCATTTCTATGTTTTCCAGCAAGTTTTTGCCTTAAATCAATACAGTATTGATAATAGATTAAGAATTACATAAGAAGTTCGAGACAGAGACCCTTATTTTCCATGATTTTCTTTAAATGCAGACGTCGCCGAAATGCAACTATGGTACCGTAACGATTTTAAACTGGAATGTAACAATCTTGAAATGCGTTATATTCTTTTAAATTTGTACTCAAAACAATATCAAAAGACTATATTTGGAATAAAATCGATAAATTAGACTCCTGCGATGATACATTTTAACACAAACCGTTTTATTGTAAATAATTGAAATGTCGCGTTTAAAATGCTATGCCTCCGTAACGGGCGTATACTTTTAAATATACATTATACCAATCAAATAAAAATTTTAAAATATTGTTTTGTACTTCTTTAAATGAAAAACACCAAAATGAGGTGTCGTCTATACAAAAATGTGATAACTCTGACCCGTAGAAGTCTTATTTCACTATGTTTCCATAACGACTATTTTCCGTAACAAAACGATCATCCGAATTTCGGTACAGTATACGGTTCAATTGACGGAGTGTCGTTTTTGCCTATCACCGCTCCCAATGATACGTCACTAAGAGGTATGCATGCAACATCTTAATTGACTTTTATGATACAATTTAGTCAACTAGAGGTAATTGGCAGTCACTGTACTTAATTTGCCAACCATTGTTTTTGATTTGATAACGATGTTTTCACAATTATGTTACTTACACGAGAAATTTTACTGATAAAAATCGATTGCAAGCTTTATTTTCAGCAAACCACAGAGTCAAAAGTAGCAAGTTGATGCTATATATATTTTTTACCTGTTTGAAACATTTGTTACGGAACATAGTTAATTATTTTGAGATCATAATCTGATGTCATATATGTACTTTATCCATAGTTATTTAACAATTTGAAATGAATGATTGGTTTCAAACATGGAACACATATTTCGATGAAAAAGAAGTGCACAGTTTATCAAATAGTCAAAGGCAATTTGTTACGGAAGCATAATCTTCTATCATCTTTTTTCAGCACCATAATAAATATATTCAGTTTGTTTATATAAACTGTTCCAGTGTGTTTTTTCATTATAAAGATATATGAAAATGGTGTCCAATATTAACTTGAAGTCTAACATGATTTGTATTGTGTTGTAAGGTTGCAGTTTTCCGTTACGGAACATATCAAATTTGTTACGGAACATAGCATTCATAAATGCTATGTTTGAATATGATTTTTTATGTTTTTTTACTATTTATAAAATACTAAAAGTGTATATGTCACTTACATTATCTAAAAGTTTTAGAATAACAATTATCATGAAAAAAGTAATATAAATAATGATATTTATGTAATAATGATAAAAATGATGATTATTATGTAATTGTTATATTCATAATAATCATGATAAAAATAATTATTTTAATGATATTCATGTATCAAGTTTAATATGTTTATGATAATCAATAATTTTCTATTTTAGAATGGTGCTTTTAAAAACAGAAATACAGGAGACAAAGCAGAGAGGGGAAAACAACAAATCATTTAAAAGAGAAAGAAAGCAGAAAAAAGTATGTTCCCATTCAAACAAGAAAAAGCACTGGTGAAGAAAATGTAGAGGACACTATATGAAACAGTTTTACATTACAACAAATTTGTTAAATTAGGCCGAAATAAAGCAAATAAAAGTGAAAAAAAAGAATTCTTGTTCATTTTCAGTGAAAAACATAACATTCTATTTTCCATAACATATGTTCCATAACAGATATCTTTTCCTGCACTTCTCACTAAATTAAACTGTTGATGTTATTTCTAATTGGTACAGCGTTTTATGATTGATGTTGTTTATGAAGATACCACATTTAAATTGTTTAAGTAATTTTAAAAGAGTGAAAATATTGAGTTATAAATCCTGTTTTATAATTTTTCACCTATGTTCCATAACAGATCATAAGGTCTGTTTGATGATCATTTGTGCAGCGAAGTTTTCTTGGTAACGTTACACCGATTAAAAGTTATGCTTGATTTGTTTTCTGCTTCTATTTTAGATATAATTCGATAACTTTTATGGCAGTATTTGTTTGTGCATTGTATCGAAACAATGTCAATCTTAAGTTACGAAAATATTTGTTTATACAAACTTTTCAAATACGAAGTATACAAGTTTCAGAATAAGATATGGCATAAAATATTTTTGCTAAAGGTAACCATTGGTCTTCAACTTTTCAATGCATATTCTTTTGGATTGTTTAATTTAAAATGTTAGTAAAACAATACCTCCAAAGTATTTCCTATGGTATATATATGTTCCGTAACAATGTAATTCAGTAACTAACTTCAAAAGCTTTCATTATACAAACGGAGTGAATGGTGTGGGTTAAACTTCCACACAATCTGTCCAAGATATTGAACATTAAAAGCAAATCATAGAAAACGTTGATTATGAAAGTCAGATTTTTCATTTTTTGTGAACCAAAAGTGCTTCAATTATGGGAGAATGGCTGATTAGATAATCATATTTACTATAGAATTAAAAAACAATTGTACACGAAACTATCAATTTAATGCACAAAGATAGATTTCAAACTTTCAATTTGTTTTACGTCTCAGATAATAGCAAAACCAACAATTTAACGTCAATAAGGATGAGTCATTTGACATGTACAATTTACTTTCCCGATATGCAATATCGACTTGTATTACCCATGAGAATAAATCATTTATTGTTTAATATTTGCTTTGTGATAAATGAAGTGTAAATAATGCAAGAGTCCGTGTTTTGTTTAAAGACTTTAAGGGTCCGTATTGCATGCTTTCAAATAAAAAAATTGTTTATTAATATTTTTTTAGCTTTTTAGCTCAATTAAAACCGTATTTTATATGCGTCTTATAGAAAATATGACTTCACGTGCAAGTATATTTCCAACAACAACAACAAAATAATAATAATAATAATAATAATTATTATTATTATTATATTAATAATAATAATAATAATAATAATAAAAAATAATAATAATAAACATAAACCAAAAACACCCAACATTTTTCGCCTGGACACATGTTTGAAATTATGCTACATAATTATATGAAAATAGTTATTAATTACATGTTAAGTTGCGAAATCTATATCAAGTTCCCGGATTTTTTGGCACATTTTAAACCTTATTTTGCTCGTACATACACGTACAATATTGCACGAGCTCCTATTTACAAAGCAAAAAAGAAATTTATTTTTGTAAACTTTTTCTTGAGCAATTCTTTAAAAGCCACATTAAAGGTGTAAATGTTCCAATTAGTCTACGTCTTAAAATAATAAAGTAATGTTTTAACAATTATCTCCGCGGGCAGTATCATCATTACTGATCGATTTATCAGTTTGGCGAACTTTATGTTGAAACATGTCAACACTTGATAGACAGTGGTGATCGAATCTTTCCCAGTGCCTACTATATTTCATTTTTTATTAGTCCACCAGACAAAGCAGTATTTTCATGCTTGTGTATTTTTGACGGCGTAGATAACCATACGAAAAACAGATATTATGAAAATGTACACGCCTTTCTTTTAATACTGTAGAGTTTTAATGACCCCGTTTGATAATAGCTTTTCTTACCTTCTATATTTTGTCATATATATTTTGTTAACTACATCTACTAAAAGTTCAAAAAATATCTCACTATTAAAAATGTCGATTATTCTCATTAGTGTATTTACTTCTTTTTAATTAGGTTATAAATCAATATGCTTTCTATTGCTGTGCGAAGATGAACTCAAATTTAACCATTCATTTCTATGCGTCTTAAATTACCTGTATTTACTAATATTTATCTATAAATTCTTTTTTTATACAATAGAATAGTTTTTGAACTACAATCCGATTACAAAATAACTCCATTCATTTTCATTTCAATACAAGCGTTTTTGAAAACTGATAAAACCTACAATAGTAAGACATTTTGTCCGTAACCTTTAAATTTTAAATTCCCAAAGGATATTTTGAAAGTTAGAGGTTGACTTATATCAGCGTAAGGCGCTACTTTGAGAAATTATTAACGGTTGTGTGTACTCGTTATGATAAACATTTCATGGACTTTGTCCAAATTGTTTGACAAATAATTATATTTTCAACATAATATTGAATAAAAGGCATTAGAACTTCAACAAAGAAGCACGGATACATACATTTTTTTAGTTAGAATTATAAATATTTTAACAATATTTGTTCTGTCAGTTTTAAAAGGCTATTATTAGCAACACTCTTATTCGGACAGGATGAGATATGTTCATGTTGTTGTGATTATTTTACTTATTTTATCATCAGTAAGAATATCATATTGTGTTTCATACAACAATTCAGTTGACCTGATGCGCGATGTACTGGACGGGTATGACGCCCGACAACGCCCTGTGTCAGATCAGAGTCATCCGGTAGTCGTCACCGTCTCTTTTTATTTATTAACAATTCAAGAATTTAACGAAGTCGCAGCAAAGTTTTCAGTGTATGGTCTTCTTATACTAGGATGGAGCGATCAAATCATTACCTGGGATCCAAAAGACTATGGAATGGCATACTCAGCATTATTTAGGTTATCCGACGTATGGTATCCAAAACTGGTTCTCACAAATCCGTACACAAAGCTGTCTGACCTTGGAGATGACTGGATGACAATTAGGATATATAACTCCGGGCATACAACATTTGTACCTGGAGCTGTTTTTGACACCTCTTGCAATGCTGACGTCACATTTTACCCGTTTGATACTCAGGTTAGTTACATCCATTTTAGTTTTAGGATTTCCCATTGAAGCATCTGTAAAATAAATGGTGCATAACAATTTCTACAACACATAACATATAAAACATATAAGAAAGAGCATTCTTTATTCAAATAGGTAAAATAACATTATGCGTTAAACTACTTAAAATTTCGCTTCCATTTGTCAATCGTACCAATCTATTGATTTCAGCTCTTTCTAATTAATCAGATCAAATGTAATTTATTATATAACAATACTGCGTCTATTGTTACAGATATGTATTTTATCGTTTAACGTATGGAGCTACGTTGGTACAGAAGTATACTTACACCCTACTGTTGATGAAGTGCTGCTTGATTTCTTCACAGAAAATGGCGAATGGGATTTGGAAAATACCAGGGTACAAAGAACAGCCGGCGAACATTACACATCCGATAAATTACATTTCATATTCACAATCAAACGCAAGCCCGAGTTCCTTATTGTTAATGTTGTTCTTCCTATAGTCTTTATGTCTATAATAAATATTCTAGTGTTCATACTACCAGCTGAATCAGGTGAGAGAGTTGGGTATTCCGTTACAGTGTTACTAGCTCTAGCTGTCTTCATGACCCTTGTTGGAGATAATCTTCCCAAGACGTCAGAACCGGTGCCGATTCTAAGCTACTATTTGATGATTCTTTTGATCTTGAGCACGCTCATGACCGTGATAACCTTACTGAATCTGAGTATTTATTTTAAGACAAGCCAAGTACCAGCTTGTCTACGAAGTACATTCAGAATATTATTATGTTTCCCTTGTAAGTTCGGAGAGAAGATAGATATAAACAACAAAGTTAAACCAGTGGACATTAAGGATGAATGTAGCATTCCAGCCGAAAATAAAGCGAGCATAAATGAACCTGAAATAACGTGGCAACACATCAGTTCAGGCATTGATTTAATTGCAATGGCGTTCTTCTTATTATGCACTATTATCATCAACGCTGTTTTCCTTTCGCTCCTATCAAAAAATAAAGATAGCGCTTTTAATAATTAAATAATTTGATTGAATTGTGATATCGAGTTACATATTAACGCTGGTAAGTGTGAAAGCGGTTTAAAAATTCAACAGTGACACATGTAGACGTCATTAAATGCTGCAACAATGTGGGTATGTTCATTTATTGGAACATGTAGCCACCTCGAACTTTTAATTTGTTATGCCTGTGATGTAGGGCTCTTTAACTGCCACATTGTTATGCTTACGCCATAATGCGTGCATGTTTTTTTTTAATGCCAACTCGTTATGCTTACGTCACAATGTGTGCATGTTAGGTGGTTGATATGCCAAATTGTTATGCTTATGTCACCATGCGTACATGTTAGGATGTTTGAAACTGGACTTCCAACTTGTATTCTTGTGGTTTGTGCGTGCATTTTAGAGTGCTTGAATTGCCACACTGTTATGCTCGTGTCACCATGTATGTTATATAACGAGCTTTGATTTTTTTATAAATATCTCTTCCTGATGTAATTATTTTACTCAGCGATACTGCTATATTATTTTTTGTAGTCTTCAATTGATTTTGATAAACATGACAAAAGCTATGTGAAAATATTCGTATTAGAGTTATATGGATTATGATAACGATGAAGGAAATAATAATAATAGTAATAGTTTATATATTTTACAGAACACATTTCTACTGTACAGTATTAGATGTATCAACAAGTGTAGAAAAACTGTTGCCTTTAATTCAACAAAATAATGAATATATATATGAGAGTACAAAATGGTTGCTTAACATTACGGATTTAATAACTATATTTTATCGTAAAATTCTTCATTTGTAAAAAATTGATAAAATACGGTGGAAATTACGAATACTTGAAAAATGTATGCTAAATCACTTGACAAAAATATAACTAGACTTAGCACTTACACGAAATGAGCTATGATTTTTATGCGGCTAAAAACGAAATGAAAACTTATTTCTATTCCTAATTGCACGAGGAATGGTTATTGTGCTTGAAATTCAATTTAATAATGAATGACTGTTGTAATGCGATTATTCTGTGATAATCGGATTTTTTTTATCTTCGAATTAGAATTGGATAAATAATGACTGTTATAATTCAATCTTCGGTCTCATTTCCTTACTTAATGTTCATTGTATATTAATGTCACATCTGTTGTTAACACACCCCATGTAGAGGGGTAAATAATATCTTAAGAAAGTTGAAAAATATATAAATATTCTTATAAAGTTTGAGGAGTTCTTTGAATATTTTTAATCCTTTTTCAAGTAAATCTTTAATTCCAGCTGGATATAGGAGAATATTTTACTTTGACTGTATTAACCGTTCATTGTTAGCATCTGTTTTGCTATTACAATATTCTTCTGTCTGTCCTCAGGATTTTAACGTACTAAGTGAGAAGAGATAAAAAGCTAGATTCGATGTTTGCATGGTTTCATTTTTTCAGAACATAGCATATCATTACAAAAGTGAAGAACATAGAAACACTTGGAGATCAGATTTCTAATGTAAGACTATACACCTGTTGTACAAATAAGAAACCTCCTATTATGTTTTTAATCTAATCTATCTATTGATTATTCATCATAGAATTAGATACATGTTTAAAGTTTGAAAATAATGGCAATTAGAATAGGACATCAATTCCAATATCTTTATTTTCGTTTTTCATTATTACTACAACAACAATAATAACAGCACAGCAAAACCAACAACAAGAAGAAAATGGATAACAATGTCATCAACACAAAAAATAATAATAATACCACGAAGAACATTATCTTTTTTTCAGAATTTCAAATGAATGAATTTGAAACAAAATGAACAAGTTGTTTCAAAGTAACAAAGTAACGGTATATTGTTTAACTCACAAATGTTATGTTTACAATAAAACCTAGAGTTACAACTAACAGGTGACCATTTCCAATTTATTTATTATTACAGAAATGCGTCGCAGTCTTATTGATATTTTGTCATAAGGAAGCACAAGTTATGAGTTTATCAATATTTCTTCTGTAATCTGATGTAAGTCACGTATACCAGGTTTGCGTTTTGCGTCGAACAGAAACTGACGGCTGGTCACTGTCGTTCTATCTTTAGATACCAGTAAGACAACTTGCTGAAGCTGCATATTGAAAAGGAAACAATGATTATTAAATTTCGTGTTTGTCATATTAGAAACTAGAAATGTGTCCAAAGAACACGGGCTTCCCAACACTCCACTGTTTTGTCAATCCTATGACTCCAGGTCAAATATATGTTGGGCTATACGTGACACAAGTTGAAAACTAAAATCTTTAACTAAGTCAAGGGCAAGAAATTTACAAAATTAATACTGAATTAATCCACAAGCCAACTCCAAAGAACATAAGTACACATGATGACCAATATTCTTGTAAACTTTCAGTCCGACAGGTCAAATACCTTTTAAGCTATGCTGTCAAGTTGAAAGTTGCAAATTTATACTAAGTCGAGGGCAATAACTCTAACAAAACTGAAAAAGGTCATTTAAAACCAAAACCCCAGGTTGACAGAATCACAACGATGTTGATCATTATGCCTGTACAGTTGGTTGATTCTAACTCAAGCACTCAAGGAACACATATCATAACATAATGGAACGGTTTTTACTAAGGCAAGAGCAATTACTCGTCAAATACTGATTATTTAAAAAAAAGAATACCCCTAGATGCTCGACATCACATTCCAACGAACATTTTGATAAAGTTTCATGACTTAAGTTTAAATACTTTTTGAGCTACACAACCCAATTTGATTTTTTTTACTAATTCAAGAGCAATAATTTTAGAAATACTGGATACATCCACAAGTGAAACCCCACTTGCTCAACTACCTATACTGACCAACATATAGGTTAAATAATTAACCCCCCTCAGAGGCAAGTCGAAATTTTACACTTATTGCTCAGTACTGGTTGGTTCCAGGAGCTGATTTATGTCTATAAGCTTATTGCTTCCTACAGAATCGAACTTAAATAAATTATGTATGTGCGACACAAGTTGAAAATTGCATTTTTAAGCCAAGGGCAATAACTTTGACAAAACAGAATATATCCACAAGCGAAACCCCTGGGGCACAACTGCACATGCTGAGAGACATTCCCGTAAAGTGTCATGTCTCTAGGTCAAATACTTTTTGCACTGCGCGCTACACCAGTTGGAAATAGCAAATTTTTACTTTTTCAAGGACAATGACTATTCAAATACTGAAATATATCATATCTAAATATGTATATGGAGCTACTTTTAGCTCATCCGCATTTCTTTACATATCAATATGTAAAACAATATTTAAATATTTTAAAAAATTAGACAATTCTTTTAACATTACATAAATATCATATAATAGAATGTCGATCAAAACAAGATCACTTACTTTTGCTTTAATTCCTCACAGAAAACACCTGATAGTGCCCGTCGTGGTCGTATCGTTCATTTACCAAACATAAATCGAATACGCTTCAACGTAATATTAAATCGGTGATGAAGTGTAACAATTTCATGTCATGGGATCAAGTACAACGATGAAATTAAATAAAAAGATTCTTAGTTCGAGGGTTATAGTTTATCTCTAGTGTGTAACTCAAGTTGTACTGTAAATGTTATCTTTCAATGAACAGTTTTTTCTAAATATGTAGCTGCAAAAGTCTATACCTGTACATGTCATATCGTTAATGTGTTTTTCGAGATTTTTGGGGAACTTTAAATATGTTTAAGGGTAGACACTCTCGTAATTTGTTAAAGTAAGATCACAGTCTTTGATAAAGTTTATTACCGGTGCCCAGTGGGTGATTATTCATTATGTGTTTTAGATAGTTCAATAAAAGGAAAAGTTAATAACCGGTGCCCGGCAGGTGAATTATTGTATCGATATTTGGTTTAACAATCGCCGTACTACAGACGTACGGCAGTCTATTGTGTTGAACATAATTCTAATAATTGTTGATTTTTTAATAGTAGTTTATTATTTAGCAATTATGAACTGTGAGAAATGGGTGTCATTAGGAGAGTCATTTCGGTTGAAGGATGTAAATTAACTTGAAGATGTTCGAAAAAGAAATATGAGTATATTGAGAGAGAAGAAAGAAATAGGAGGCGTAAAGAAGATCGCTGGCAATTTGAGGCAGATGAAAATAAAACAGCAAGACATAGATTTGTTGTAGTTGAAATATGAGATTGGTGTTCGCCTTGATATCCCAGCTCAAGAATGAGGCCAAGATTGTAACAATTTGAAGAGTCAATGTATGACATAGATGCTAATATAGAGAGTTTCAGAACCCTTTTTAGAGAGAGCACGATGGAACAATAGGTGACTGTTTTCCAGTTTGTGAGTCGCTTAGATGGGTACTTTAGATATGAACAGAAACGACCGACACTGTGAATACAATAGATAAATTGAAAGATTTAATTATTATAGAGCAATTTATCAGAGTTTGTTTAACAAAGCTAGTTGATTTTTGAAGGCACGAAAGGCGGATGATCGATGGTAGAGATGTCTTCTCTTTGGCTGAAGAATACTAAGATGCTCAAAGCGGTACAATCAAAAAAGTAAAACTCAAAGGTTGCAAATATTTAAAAGAAAACACCTATATGCCTTAAAGTAATTCGTTGAAATCAGTAAAACACAATCACAGACAAGAGAAACACAAAAGAGTATCATGCTTCATATGTTATAGAGAGGGTCGACAGATTGTCGAGATCAGACTTACTGATATAGGGTTGTTGCAATGTTGCAAAGTAGAAATTACTATAAAACAAATCTGGACCCTACACCACGAATATGACGTAGTACCTGGAGAAATAGACGCGAAAGTACATCAGATGACATGAAGGTATCCGGATTGTGTATGTCAATTTCTTAATCAAGTTCGAATAATGTTTGCATCAAAGGGTAAACACTTAATTGGTAATTTTGTGGCTGTCATTACTAGAAGCTGTACAAAGTAATCATTGGAAGTTTAACGTCAATTAAATCTGAAACTAGAACATGATAGAAACAAAAGGTAAAAGTTCTAAGAGACTTGTTGCGTGTACGCGGTAGTTAGAAAGAAATCGGTCAAAGAAAATCAAATGCTGCAGAAAAATTGTCATAATACCAAAATTTTGATGGTCGGTTACGGTTGGTACCCATGGTAGAAATAGACATTGATACATCTTATAATAAGGATGAAATAGAATCTATGGTTTTAAAATCAGCAATTTGTGACTAAATTTGGGCAATATTCAGGGTTTACTTGATAATCCAAATGAGAAATGGATAAGACGAGAAGAAAGAAGCATATCTACTGAAGTTACAAGAGTACAGGCGGAAAATCGAAGAATGCAATTGAAACTCAAATTCTGAAGGATTGAGATAACGAAATTAGGTAGACGTTATAATAAATTGCACGACAATTAATTACAGCGTTTTCCGTAGTGTCCTAGAGAGAATAAGACCAAGACAACAAAAAGTGGTAACAAATTTAGAAACAAAGAAGAAAAAGTTGTATAGAATATTTGAAACGGTGAAAAGTGATTAAGAGGCTAAAACAAAATCAATAGTGGTTGCCAGTAAATTTCATAAAAGAGTTGTGTCGTTAGCCCACGAGTCTACAGCATACAATCTAGCTTTTACTAGCCTGGTATTTCTAGTGAGTTACTAGATTTGTCGTTCCAGTGATGTTTTTCAAAAGACGATGCCCAGGGGTGGACTTCAGAAAACTCCTTTAAGAGAAATGCCTATTAAGGACACTTTTTCCAAAGAATTGCAGTTGATTAAATTTGGCCATAATCGCATGTATAAGAAAAGGGAAAAATATACCGATATACTGTAGTTAATCGTGTTACTAGTTACCCAGAAGTTGTAGCTTTACCAAAATAAGACTAAACAAATATAGCCGATGTATTGCTAGATATTTTTGCAAGAGTAGGTTTCAAATCGAAAATACTTAAAGACAGTCAATTCAAATCTCATCTCGTAGAGGAAGT